TCTGAGGTTAGGTTAATTTTAATGAGGGAGAAAGGAAGAGCATTTAATGTTGATGATAGCCCCATTGAGAGGTGAGGAATTGGCAACCTGAGCGGAGAGTCCTCAGGTCCGGTGAGGAAAAATAGATATATAGACTGCCCTAAGTTGCTGAGTCACTATGTATAGGAGTGAAAAAATGCTCTGGGTAGTGGCCTGAGTTGGAAAGAGTCCTGAAGAAAAGCCGCATGAACCGAAGAATGGGCTACAAGGGAAATAGGTTGTCTGTGAGATAAGTCATTCCATTTCATAGCATGTCTGGTGGTCCATTGCATTGAAATATGGTGTGAAACATGAGTCTGTGGTTAAAGTAAAATGGCACATTTGCAGTAGAGCTTTTGTTTTCTATGTTAAATGTAAACTGATGTTCCAAAGAAACGAATCACACGCACACAAGCGTGGGGGCTAAAAGTGCATATGGTTTGCATTTTGTTAGGTAGTGCATATTAGAGGTAGTCGAAGTCTTGTGTTACATTATGATTAAATCTCTGAGGCCGCCGAATTAAATAACTAAATGTTTTTGTTTGTTTTAATTCTTGGAAATGCTTGAGGACAAGCAATAATTCAAGTTTGGGGGTATTTGATATGCTTATATTTTACCTATTTATTATATCCCAAATTTGTGATTTTTGCAATATATTTTGAGTACAAATATGCTATTTATATGATTTTATCTTTATTTGTAGGTTTTGTACTCAAATGGAGGAATTGTTGAAATTTTGGGCTAAAATGAAGAAAAAGCAACTCAAGGAAGAAATTGAAGCACTTGAAGAGTTGGAGGAGTTTTAATTTAAATTGGCTTGAAAAAAATAATAACTTTCTTATTTCTGGAGAAATAGGGTTTAACGAAAGCTTATAAAAGGAGGATTAGGGTTTTATTTTTGAGAGAGACTTAATCAAAAACCAACTCCATCACACCACTCTACTCCGCCGACCTCAACTCCCACACATCTCCATCACCACAAGCAGCCACCTCTCCACCTTCATCCACCACACGGCCTCATCACCATTGCCACCAAACCCTTTCTCCACCATTAAAAACCCCACGCCACAAAAACCCTTCACCAAAAAAAAAAAAACCCAAACCCCAGCCCACACGACACGCACTGAATCACCTACGCACCATCTTCGGAGGAAGCAAGCAGCAACGCATCAACCTCAGACTCAACTTTCGGCTAACTTTCTCACGGGTTTCATTGTTTTATTTATTTTTGAGATGATGTGTAGCTAAATTCTTTTAACTTAGGGCTTGGGTGTAGCCACCAGATTTATTTGGTTTATTTGAATCATGATACTTTGATTTTTCCATTGATCAATATTTAATATTCTTGCTTTTATTTCATGGTTGTAACTGGCCACTACTTGCATGTTTAAAGATATTAATTGATGGAACGACAGTTGAAAATTAATATTAGTTCATGGGAATATTGGACTTAGGTAGTGAACCACGACAGTAGGCACACAACCTTTGCAATGTTAGATTCATAAGGTCTTAATGTGCTTTTGTTAATCCTATAGTCTTGAGAGTAGTCATAGGATTAATCTAAGTAAGAGAATTATAGCGCGAGAGTGTATAATTCTTAATTCGGTGAATCGTTGTGAGATCAATGGAAGTTAAAAGTCAAATATTTATGAATTGAATCAAACCAAATATTCGGTAGGTGAACCCAATGTCCTAATTTTCTTTGTCTGATTATTTGAATTAATATTATTTTCTTTTATTTTATTTATTTATTTTAGTTTTAAATTTTATAAATCTGAGATAATCATTTATCTAGATAATAATAGGAGTAATTTATAACTGGTAATTAGTATTTCTTCTCTGTGGATACGACCCTATTTTCCGCTATACTAGTGTTAAGTAAGTGAATTTATTTGACTAGTTGTGACGACGGCTTGTCAATTCCTAACCCGATTGTGTCCATTAATTCCAGCTCGGCAATACCGCAATAGGCCTTGCAATTCTAGTTCTTAGGAGGAGCGACTTCCATCATTGCATATAGTAATTCCACCACTCACTTTAATTTGCGATCGGATATATATCTTATGAGAATTCTTAACTGTTACAGTCAGCAAAAGATATAACCAAGTTCTATGCTGGCTCTATGCTGGCTCATGGCAAATTTGCTGCTTCGGATCCATAATCATGAACAAACAAAAGCAAGTACGGCTAGTAGGGTCGACTAGCAATCTCACATAATTCGATAAGTATCACGTTGGCAATAAACAAGTTTTGAACAATATTTCAATAATGTACCAATTAACAATCAAGAGTAGCAACATTTTTATATAGTAAACATGCCGTAGGGCGACAAGGTCACCCTCGGGTTCTCACAATGAAGTATAATTAAATATTTTAAAGGAACGTTTTCATGTGTAATGTGTTTTGAATATAATCCATAACTTCAGGTTTTGAAATATTTTTTAAAAAAGTGAGTATTACTCACAGGTGTTATTATGAGCCTTTGTAAGTACAAGTGCCTCCTACAATGTATCAAATGTTCTCGAACTATTAGTTAGATATTAAAGACCAAAAGTTCTCAACAATATCTAAGTTATACTTAGCCACTAATTGATAAGGGACTACCTCAAACGAGTACAATTTGTGAGGTCCATTATTAAAATTGTGGCTAACTTTTGAAACAAAAATAATAAATAAAGAAATGCTCCAACAGATTTAGGGTGGAATTCATTGAGTAATCTGTACTAATCTAAGATGGATCTATGTGCTTACTTTATATTGTTGGAAAGATCTACAAGTCTAGTGCACAACGCATCAATCGGATTTTAAATCGGAATTGTATGCAGAGAGTTATCCCCAACTTGCTAAGATGGCATACTGCTGTCGGTGACATCAACTACCTACGAATTTTGAATGTTTTTAATCAATTTGCACATTGAACATCTTATATTCAACTATTCTAATAGTGCAAAAACACTCCTAGGTGCATAAGTTACTTATTTCCAAAATACAAAATATAATTTAACTCATAAACTAAAAACACTAAATGAAAAGAGCGGTTATCCTAATTACCTAGCAAAAACCGAAATTGCTTCTTCCATGCCTCCGGTCCTATGTCCATGGCTTCCTATTGATCCTACTCCCTGTAGCCCTTACTCTCTCCTTCGTTTTTTCATATATTTTCCTCAATCTTTTTGGTGTATCATTCGTCCTCCTCCAACACCATATTTATACTTCGCTAACTCATGTTTGCTTCACCTAGTAGAGATAGGTTTTAGACTAATGACTTACTATTCTTTAGACTCCACAGCTCACTCCTATTCAGCCCTTAGTAAGCTCTATGCTTCACACAACAAGCCTATATTTTTTGTCAGCACTAGCTTTGGCTCCTTCCACGTTTGTTTTCCTGGACTTGCTTAATTACTTAGCTATGAAGGTGAGTAAGGTGTTTGCTTCAACAAATTTCAGTGGGTTGGAGTCTTCTATATTCGCCAAGTAAAACCAAGGTTGTCATTATCATTCATGACACATTGTTGCATTCATGCATTTCACGCAGGATTTTAAGCCTACCTTACTAATGTATAAAAATGGCTAATATGCTATATGGTTCACAATCCTTTGAGAGGTCATATGAAAATTTACTATTCACTTTTGCGGAAACTTTTATGGGGGTTTATCTTAAAGATGTTGCAAGCATTTTAGGGAGGTTTATTTTATTTTACTACTCATTTCGGTTCTTATTATAAGACATTTTGATTTGTCCTAGATTTTACTTAAAATGTCCTTTTAATAAGAGAAAAATTTTGAAAATATATTTTCACATTCGTTATGTTCTCTTAATTTTTAAGAAATATTTATTAATTTTTTTTTAATTAAAAAAACATACTAAGTGAAACATAGAGCGTGAATTAAATGATAACTTAGTGATTAGGTTGTTGTACTTCCTGGTAATAGACCAGGGACAGCCTAGGGTCCACTGGGGTGTTTTTTTTTTTTTTAGAAAAGTGAAACATAGAACAAATCAATATATCTTATAATAAGAACCGGATGGAGTAATTAACTAATAACGTATCGTTTCTAACAGCTTAGAACTTGTTACTTCGTGTATGAATTCGTGTTGCATACTAATCATTATTCTTTAAGTTGCATGAAAACCGTCAGTTTATATGAGGAATTAAATAGTTAAAACAAATTTCTATTTCTTATTTTACTTCTTAAACGTTTAACGTTGGTATTGTTACTTGTATCTCCTACCTTGTACTAATTTTTTTTTAGGAATGGGGATTATGTATACTTAATTTTAGTCCATAGAAATAAAACAAGTTAAATTTTAGAGGTGGTGTTACACCAAACTTCCAAATTGTAACCCCGGAGTAACAATCCCAATTCTCACCTTAATTACACCCCATTTATAATAGTCAAATTAATTAGACAGAATCCATTCATGCGTGGCAAAGAGAAGAAATATAAATAAAACCTAAATAAGTTTTAGTTCTTGTTCTGAGAGATTATAGATATGCAAAATCTTAAATTCTCAAATGGCTTGATGATCATCTCACTGCTAGTTTACAAGCACTACTTCCTCTTCAACTTCAATAAGTTCCTCCACTTCTACTTCTTTGGCTTCATATTTCTCCTATTCATCATTTGCTTTCTCATTACGAGGTTCTGTCACCTTAATTATTTCTCTTCATTGTACTCTCTTTGTCCCAAAATGAATATCCATTTTATATTTTCACTTTTAGTAAAAAATTATATTAGAAATAGCTTCCAAATTGAAGGAAGGAGTACTTGTTGTCGAGCTCCAATACTTTGATAGGGATATAAATCTTGTTCACTAATCCTAAAAACTTCGTATCCAATACATGTAATTTTGTTTTTTTTTTTTTGTGTGTAACAATCAACCTCAATCGCGAGATGAATGTACTCTAATTTCACAACACCTCTTATTCTCAATCCTTTGAGGGAATAACATTATTATTACTAAGATAATACATGCAAATTAAGATTTTAAAGAGTGTGATACAAAATGTTTCGACAAAAATAACACTATAGGAAGGGATCCAAACACTAAAGTACGAAGATGATTCTTATGTCTTTCGGTACGAGGAGGGATGACACTGACCAAACTTTCCACGTAATTGTCAGCAACCGAGTAGCTCCAATCGTATAGTTCCGACAAATGATGAATCACTCCTCCAGGCAATTTCTCATCAATTACTTTGCGCTCACAATCATAAAGCACTAGCGATGCTTCGGAGGATTCTGAGAATTGATATGTCAACATTTTGCTGTTTAGGGCGACGAACCGATACTGACCCAATCCTGCTGGTTTCCCAATAAGTTGCTTCTTCCATTCATTAGGTTGAGTACCCTTCATCATCGACCAGAGATGAAATTCGCTATTTGCATAAGCACATATGGAGAGATATCCTTCAAAATTTGTAAGGTGATGAAACTGCACTGAATCAATACAATCAGGTAACACATATGTTCCAAAATTATTTTCACCATTTTCTTGAATACTCAAGTCAACCTTATGCAAATAAATAACTTCTCGATCCTCATTATAAATATTTTTGCATCCATCACTGCTTCTACTTTTCCAATAAAAGCATCCCTTGTGAATCAAGCCTTTCTCCCGTAAAGGGATCCAAGGTTGCTCAATAGTAATAGGTCGGGTGTTAATTGTTCTCCAACAATGAGTGTTCAAACTATAAACATCAACATTTATATACATGCTTTTCTTCTTGTCCTCCTTCTCCTCCTCTTCTTTGTAAGTTGAATACACTTTAACCACTTTGTAATCATTGCTTGTAACGTCAAATCCAAAACCAATAGCAACAGGGTGATAGACTTTGTCAACCGTCATTGGTAAGATTTTGTATTGGCGTAACGCAGGATTCCATAAGCATACCTCCCAGTCATTCTCGACATCGCGGTATCTGGCAAAACAAAACACCCCATCGCAGCAACCCACGAGTTCTGTAGATTTAGTTAGGTCACCCATATTTGATGCGATGATAGTTTCATCATCGACCTTTATGAATCTCTCGCGGTTATGATCACACCTCCACGTCCAGAAGTATCCCTTGCGCTCTTCAGTTTTATTTTCCACATGACGAAACAACACATTTCGGGTCGACTGGTTGCGGAGGTGAGCCTTTATGAAAACCTTATCAGAAGTGATGATTTGATGCCATAGCTTACATACGCAAGATAGTCTTACTAGGGTTTTCACTTCGGGTACTCGGCTCAATATGTGATGAATGATGTCTTCCGGTATGTAAAGTGGCATTTTATTTGATATTGATGACGATACCCCCATTGTTAGATCATAAAAAATATGATTTTAATGGCTAAACTTTGAAGTTGAAAGTAGAATACAAATTACCCGCAAATCCCCAAAAAGAATTGTGTATTAAAGTAAAGTGTCTTTGATGATAATAGCCCACTATTTATAAGAATAGGTGCCGGCCTAGCAATGTAGAAGAAACTGAGAAATAATCCTAAAACAAGGCTGATAAACAATTGTAATCTTGCATTAACTCCTTCTTAGGTCTTTTGAAATGGATTTGGATTTCCACATCATTCAATTCAACCACGTGATAGAAAAACTATAAACCTACCCATCGATATACGGTAACTACTGCATATATATATTATTCCGATGCGGATTTGGATTCTAATTGATTAACAAACTCTCCAATCTCTCTCTGTTCTATTTCTCTTTTTTTTTTTTCGGGTACAATAGAAGAAGTTAGGCCATGGGAGACCGAATCTCCTCCTCGGGAATCCACCCCTCTAATGCTAAAGCCACCTATTCAACCTGATGATTGCTGCAAATCCTCTCATGACTAAGCTTTTTTTTCGGGCCATTACTTCAATATAACTCTCCAAGTCTAGAGCAAATTAACAAAACTTCAAGCTGAGGAGGCCTCTGATAAAATATGGTGAAGTCAAATGGAGTCGAAAACTTGTCCCATGCAACTGAGTTGACTGATGTTGAGCCTCAAATTATTAATCAGCTTCTGATCAGCAATATTTGAAGTCGCAAGATCCTGAAACACTGGAAAGGGTAGATAATTTGCAAGTTGTTTGTGTCAGCGAGGTAACTGAAATTTCCCTGGATGGAAAATCAAATGCTGATCATCAACACATAAACTTGCAAGATCTTCACAAATGTATATACCACAGACAGAGATGTGCCACTGAATCTGCTAATACCAAGATTCATGATCAAACTCTTTCTGGAAATAGATCTAAGGATCTTCGGGTGACCCGTGATTCGCCTTATCATCGTATGGATAAAGTTCTGGAGCAACTTGTGTCTCGAGGAATTCAAGAGGTTTGTTTAAGGTTTGAAGAAAACATGCTTAAGCTACTATTTTTGTGGATCATTATCTGCCACCGCCACAGCTCCAATTTTACTGCAAACTCTTCCAAGGAAAGTGGTGGTATATTGAGTTTTAGGTTTTGCTTGTTTTATTTTTTGGAAGGTTTTTTCATAATAATAAAATAATAATTGTCCCATCCCAACATGCTTTTTTACATTTCCAATTCACCTTTTTATATTTTCAATATAAAAAATACATAAAAACACACATAAAAAAACGAAACAAACATATCCTTAGTGCTGATGAGTATAAATTCATAGAATTCGAGGGTAATGATTTTGTAGATCCTCAAACGAGTGAGCGTCTATTGCTGGATTCATACATAGTAGATTTATTTAAGATTTCGAAAATTATAGAAAGGAAAAAAAATAATGGAGAATATATATATATATATATATTTTTTATAACGCTGGGAACCTCACCAAAGATGGTAAATCCACGCCCACTGCAATAACCTTCAAACTACCACGCTCACTGCAATAACCTGCAAACCACAGTGGGAGATAAACTACCCTAAACATGCCCGGGATGACAAGCTCGGGTGCGAAATTGGGGGATGGTAAACCCACGCCTACTGCAATAGCCTGCAAACTACCACGCCCACTGCAATAGCCTGCAAACCACAGTCGGAGATAAACCACCCTAAACATGCCCGGGGTGACAAGCACCTACTGCAATAGCCTGCAAACCACAGTGAGAGATAAATCAGTCTAAACATGTGTGGAGTGATAAGCTCGGGTGTGAAATCGGGAATTCATTGGTGGGTTAGCCATAACAAACTCCTAGAGGTGCCAATAGGGAAGGTGAAAGCCAACCCCTCACTTTTTGTTAGAATAGGGAATTGAACTCATGAACTTCTCTTAGAGCAAGAGTGGTGTTACCACTGAACCAACTCCTCATTCGCATAATAGAGAATATTTAATACTTTAAGAAATTAATATTTCAGATTTAAGTAATGAAGTAAAAACGAATGAGCTACTGCAATTGGCAAGGTTGTAAATTATTTAAGGAGTTTTTTCTTTTTTTTTTTTTTGGGAGGGGGTCAGTGTTCGATCTATTAAGGAGTGATTCATGTGAAAGATTAAATCCCTTGACCATCTAATTTCTACTAATTTATTTGTTTTTACATAAAATGCAGACTATCTAATTATCATAGCTAGGTTGCTTCTCCATGTTCATGACTAATTAAATAAACTAAAGCGTAATTAACTCTATCGATCACGGAATCTCAAACTGCTTAAAACTTATAGTAATAGAGCTTTGCAACCGATCGATGTTAGATGATCACGCATTGGGGATGTAATCCAGGGCTGAACTGAGCTGCTTTGTGGCGTGTTTGCTCTCTTCATTCTGCACTAGGAATGCTGAAACTAATGCCTAATTCAGTAACTCTACGTTTCATCCCAATGTATTAACCAAAAAAAAAAAAACGTAAAAAAAGACTACACCTAATGCATAAATGCGCATGCAATTTTGAACACCTTTTAAAATAAACAAAAATTAAATTTATGCATACCAAATTTTATAGTGTTAATTAAAGGTAATGAAGGAACTCAAAATTTGACGGTATATGTACCCAACAAATTTACTACTAGTCAAAGTCGGAAACAATAGGATTAACATGGATTACTTTTACTACTCAATAGGTGGAAAAATACAGCAACGAAAATAGTCGGAAGCCTTGATGAATGTGAAAGGAAGAACATTCTGACTTTCTTTAGCAACAAAGAAAAAAAATCATGAATTTCTCTATTGAAACTTATTACAACATGAGCAAATCTGATTAGTCTTATTAGCATATGATTGTAATAAACTGTCTCGCTAGATGCGGCAAGAACTGTACAGTGCCCTCTACGTTTTATAATGACTGAAATTTGGAGTTGATATTAGTATAGGTTACAAATTACGTGCAAATCCCCAAAAGACTTGTGTATTGTAAAGAGTCCTTCATGAGAATAGCCCACTATTTATAAGAATATTTTTCCGGCCTAGCAATGTAGAAGAAGAAACTGAAATAATCCTAAAACAAGGGTGATAAATGTAATTTTGCATTAAACTCCTTTCTTGGGTCTTTGAAATGACTAGTTGTCCTTTTTTTTTAAAGGCACATTTGTTGGACATTTCCTTCTTCTAAAGTGGATTCTTGTTGGACACTGTCCAATGTAGTAGCTCCATTTTATCAACAAAATAGGGCGATATGCCCTTCTGTAAAAAGAAAAAAAAAAAAGACATTTCCTTCTTCTAATGGAAGTGGATTACTGTTGGTCCATCTTGGTAGTGAAGAATTGCCACACGTCTTACATCCTGCTGATAATGTGATTAACCTTGAAACTAATAATAGTACTATTTTTAACAAAAAAGAAAATAATAGTACTGTAAAACCATGAGAGCAAAAGTAGTACTCCCTCCGTCCCATAATTATTGTCCAGTTTTATTAAAATGAAAGATTTTATTTTTGGTCAAATCCAAATATATTTTACCTTAAACAACCGGATATACCCTTACATAAGTAATTATTTAACCACTAAAATTTTATGGATAATGTTTTTTACTAAGGACAAATGTGTAACTTGATCCATAAAAAGTCAAATTGGATAATAATTTTGGGACAAAATTTTTTGGGCAAAGTGAACAATAATTATGGGACGGAGGGAGTACAATAAAATGGTTAAAGGCCTTCATAGTGATGAATTTATAGAACGTTCTCTAACTTTTGTCGCAAGAAACTAAATGAAAAAACAAACAATGATATGAGTATGAGTGGAAACAAATGAATTCGAATGTGTAAATCCGCCATTCATTGGCTGCCAACAACTCTCAAGATTGAAAAATTTCTCGGAATTTCAAAGTGATGTTAATTAACCCACAGTGTAACTGTAAACTCCTATCTTCACACGAAGCATCCAAACGGTTTTTTGGCCAAACCCTTTAAGACGATGCTTACTTTTCTCGGAAATTGATCCGCCAGCATTGATCTGTCAGTTTAAAGGGGGGGTGTAACGGAGACCAAGCTTTCCACGTAATTATCGGCAACGTAGTAGTATCTCGGGGAGATACTTTCCGGTCATAAGTGGCTCTTTGTTGCAGAATCTCATCAATTATCATAAAGCACTAGGGGTGGTTCTTCCACATTAATTGAAAAATCGTAGGCCACGATTCTGTTATTTCCAGTGGTGGAAAGATCGGGAATGCTCACACATACTGGTAATTCTCGTTGACAGCCATTTTCTCGAGGACTCAATTGAACTTTATTCAAATAAATACGGCCTTGTCTCCACTCGTCATACTATATCTAGACCCATCGCTCCTCCCATTCGTCCAATAAAAACACCCCTTATGAATCAAACCCTTTGCATGTTATGGCCGATGCTTATTAGCGATAGGTTGGGAGCCAATTGTTTTCCAGCAATGAGTTCTTACACAATAAACATCAACATTGGAATGAAGCGAAGGACCCTGTTTCGTAGAATACACTTTGAGCACTTTGTAGTCATTGCCAATAACATCAAAGCCAAAACCGATGGCAATAGGTAAAACGGACCTATTCACTGTTGTTGGTAAGATATTGTGTTGGCGCAAGACAGGATTCCATAAGCATACCATTAACTCTATCCCATAAGCATCAAAACGCATATTGTCAATACAAAACACCCCATCGCGGCAATCCACGAAATCCGCTCGGCTGGCTAAATCTCCGGTACTTGATACCTGGATTGTTTCATCATCAACATTTATAAACCGGTTGCGGTTATGACCGCCACCATGAATGCTGTGTACGCCGTCTTTAAAATATCTCGCCATAGCTTGCAAACGCATGATAACCTCGCGAGAGATTTCAACTCGTTGACATGGTTTAATAGATGTGTAATGATGATGTCTTCGGGTATGTAGTGCGGCATTGTACTGATTTTTTATTTTTTCTTTTAACAATGACGGAGGCTATCTACTGAAAACCTTTTGTTGATTCTCCAAAAGTGCAAGCAAGATTGATGTGCCAAACTATTATTTGGACTATCAGAAAGAATAGGGGACAAATTATTTGGTACACCCGGGGGTACCGTATCCATCCTTGCGGGTGTACTTTACTCTCTTATAATAGCGTTAGTCCGCTATTATAATTTAGCTTTCTTTTTCTTTTCTTTTTTTTTTTTAAACGCGGGGTTATATAAATAACCGAATTCATTCAAATTTGGAAAACTTTGTGATGGAATGGGCGATGGCCAGCGGCGATCGAGGCGTTGAGGCGGCAATGGGGGTCGGCAATCGAGGCGTTGAGGTGGACACGGCCGGCGGCGATCGAGTCGTTGAGACGACGACGGCGTTCAGCGATCGAGGAAAGGCTCCGATTCCACCAGAGTGGCGAAACGGTGATTGGATCGACGATATGCTGAGTTCATATCGAGTGATGAGTTATCTCGTTGAGGATTCCGGCTTGATGAATGCGGAATGTAGTGGTATCAAATCCATCGAACAATCTTACTGTGCCAGCAAATCAACGCAAGGTCACAGTTCTGTTGTACATCAGCTGCAATTTGTGTAGGTTTCGGAGTGTACTGTTTGTGAGAGAATAATCAATCTAGTTGTTTCACAGTTCTGTTTTTGTTAATATTGTATGAAGTGGATAAGCAGTTATGCTGTGTTAGATATCCAACATGTTTGTACTGGATATCCAACTTGTTTGTACTGGATATCCAGCTTATGTGTACTGGTTATCCAACGGATTTACATGCGTATCCAAATTTTATTTGCTGGATATCCAACTGATTTGTACTGGATATCCAACATTTTTGAGTTGTTTATATTGAATTGGTGTATCAAAGATTTTTTTTAAAATTTTTTGTTTTTTTGTTTGTCTCATTTTTTGTAAAAGATAACCATATCAATGAGTTGGGGGATGATGTGATGCTGGACGATGCTTTAAGCATGGAAGTTACATCTGCTCTGAAGGGTAGGTTTTCTAACTTGTTTATATGTATTTAATTTTTTTTGATTTGTTTATCCATTGTGTTAATACTGATTATCCGACTGCATGGTAATGGTTATCCAACCATCTCTTTTGTTTTTCTCATAATGTGGAGAAGATAATAGCGGCAATGAATTGGGAGTTGATAATGTGATGGTGGAGGAGGATGCCTTGCACAAGGAAATTTCATCTGTGACAAAGAATAATGATTTGGCTGTTTTTACTTTAGTCGGCAAGACTGCAAGAAGTGAGAAAGAAGCTTATGATTTGTATAATGATCATGCCCGATTGATTTGTTTTAGTGTGAGAGTGGGAAAACAGAAGTTTAGAGGTAAGACTGATAAAGTTCGGATGAAGAAGTTCTATTGTAATCGCGAAGGATACAAGAGATCCGGTGGAAATAGTGATGTGTGCCATGAGAGGATTAATTTTCGGTGTGAGTGTCCAGTTTATATCCATTTTACTGTTGACAAAGATGGCTTGTGGACCTGTACAAAGCATATGATTGATCACAATCATGATCTTGTGCCGAATGAAATGTTTGGACTTCTTCGATCTCAACGTGAAGTAGATAAAAATGATATGAACATAATCAGAGACATGACAAGGAGTGGCATCCCTTTGGTTGATGCAGATATGTTTATGGCAAAATTACACGGGGGAAGTCCGAACATGAAGTATACTTTGAGAGATGCCTACAATTATGAGCGTCCTAGTGTTGGATTTGAAGGTGGCGATTGTAATCAGCTGATGATGATTTTTTGGGACAGGAAGGACACTGAAGAAGATTTCTTCTTTGATTTTGACTGTGATGAGCAGGGTAGGCTGTGTACTTTCTTCTGGAGGGATGGCAGAATGCGAAAGGATTATGATTTGTTTGGTGACTTGTTTGTGTTTGATACAACGTATCGAATAAACAGATATGAAATGATCTGTGCTCCGTTTGTGGGTATGGATAATCATAACAAAAATGTCATGTTTGGTTGTGGTTTTGTGTTAAACGAGAAAGAACTCTCTTTTGATTGGTTGTTCAAGCAGTTTTTGAAATCAATGGGAGATAAGCAGCCACAAACCATAATGACAGATCAAGCACCTTCCATTGCTGCAAGTATTCGGACATGTTTTCCAAGTTCTCGGCATCGTCTCTGTGTATGGCACATAGGTGAAAATTCAAGAAAGTGAATTGGTCATTTAAGAAACAAGCTAGATTTTGTTAAGAACTTTAATTATCTGATGAAATACACTTCAACAGAAATTGAGTTCGAGGTATTATGGAGGAGATCAGTTTGTCAATATTTTTATTATTATTTTAATCATTGCCATGATTAAGAGTGTCTCTTATTTTTTTTTTTGTGTGGGTATGTGTTAGTGGTCATGCATGATCTTCCTGATGATTACTTATAGGTAGGTAAGTTATACAACAATGATGGATAACCAACAAATAATGTATGGACAAGCAGCTGCATAAAAGCACAATTAAAAAAAGGCATGGATAACTAGTTTACACATTGTGGATAACCAGCATTATGGCTGGATAACTAGTTTACAGATTGTGGATACCACCCGTTATGGCTGGATAACTAGTTTACACATTGTGGATAACCAGCAATTATGGCCGGATAACTAGTTTACAGATTGTGGATAACCACCCGTTATGGCTGGATAACTAGTTTACACATTCTGGATAACCAGCAGTTATGGTTGGATAACTAGTAGAAAGCCTTTGTATAAGCATTAGGAAATTATTGCAGGGGTTTAAAGGGGTTACTGATGGATAGACAGTACCAGGTTTTGGATAATCTGTAAATGATTACTGGATAAGCAGTAGAAAGCTAAGGATATACATGTTTCTTTGTGAATCTATATGGATAATCTAACTATTTTTCTTTATATGCATGTGTTTTATATTGTTGTGCACAGATTATTGGATGGGTATAATTATCATGATGACAAATGGCTCAATGGTATTTATGATGTGAGGCATATGTGGTGCCCTGCATTTAGCAAAGATGTTTTTTTCTGGTAGTACCTTCTCTTCACAGAGGAGCGAGTCAACAAATAATGCAATTTGTCGTAAAATGAAGGCCACATCATCGCTTTGTGATTTTCATGGAATTTTCTCGGATGTTGTACACTGTTGGCGGGTAGCTGTGAGGGGTGAAGATCTACGCTGTAGCCAGGGAAACATCGGTTCATATCTTCCTGGTGACCCTTTCCTGGAGAGTATTCGCAGAGTGTACACAGTTTAAGCATTTAGGGAGGTTCAGCAGTTGCACAAAGATGGGATGTTGTGCAGGCAGGAGCAGTTAGAGGTCTCAAATGATGGCAATATTGTGACGTACAATGTTTGGCGGTTTGGGATAGAGCACTTTAAGCATGTGGTTGTACATGACACTAGGTTACAGAGATTCTCATGCACGTGCAGGTACTACTCTGAGGCGGGCATGCTTTGTTGCCACATTCTTCAAATCTTTCATGTAACCTCTGTTGATGAGTTTCCTAAAGATTATATATGTATGAGATGGACAAACGGTTATGGTGCCAGGTCAAGCATAGCTAATGGGGGAGATGGAAAAGCTGTTGGGCCATTGCTGTGAAAGGTGCTAATTATGAGATGATTTTCAGACTTGGTGTATGCAAGTGAATATAACAAAGATGCAAAGAAATGTTGTGACGAGGCGGTTGACAGGCTTAAAGAAGAACTCGACAGTTTTATTGGTTTGAATAATAATGATGAGTCTGTAGACAATGATGGTATTATAAAGAATCCGGCTGTAAAGAGGAAGAAGTTTGGTCCCAGGAACGAACGTCCTAAAAGCATTGTTGAGAAGGTATGTAACAAAGTCAGAGGCTGGAAAACAAATGCAAGAATTGCTGCTGACCGAACAAGAGCTTCAGTTGCATCAGACCTGCATTATCAAAGCATGCCATTTCCTAATCCAAAGGGAGCTGCTCAAGATTTTTTAGGCTCAGGAAGTTTTGCTGCTGTGAATGCTTCCCATCAAAGCATGCCATCTTTGAACGTAAATTCTGGTGGATTCTCATTTACTAATCCAAGCGTAGCTGCCCAGGATTTTTCAGGGGCTGGGGCTTCCACTTCTGTGAATGCTTCTCATCAAAGCATGCCATTCATCAACGAAAATTCCGGTGGATTCTCATTTCCAATTCCCAATGGATCTGGCTAGGAGTTTCAAGGCGCAAGCAATTCTGCTGCTGTGAATGCTTCTCATCAAAACATGACATTCATGAATCAAAACTTTGGTGGGTTCTCATTTCCTAACCGAAGGGAAGCTGCCAAGGAGGCTGGAGCACAGCGTTTCTTCAACAAGATGTTTTATTAGTATTTTTACTTGATGTTGAAATGAACAGTCGTGATGGTGTAAAGATTTTTATTTAAAAAGTATTATTTATTTTAAATTGCAGTATTATCCAACCAGTTTGAACTGGTTATCCATTTTGTTTGTACTGGTTATCCAAGTGGTTATTTTAAATTTGTTATCCGTTGTGTTCATGGTGATTATCTAACTAGTTTGAACTGGTTATCCAAGTTGTTTGTACTGGATATCCACCCATTTGGTTTGTATGCCTATCGAACTTGTTTGTACTAGATATCCATTTCATTTGTACTGGATATCCAACTCGTCTATACTGGATATCCAACTCGCCTATACCGGATATGCAACTTTCAATGCATATAGATATTACAAAAAAGACATGAACACGTTGAACACACTTTCTTCAAAAATAATATCATTGGATAACCAGCATAAATAATCTGGATAATTAGTACAAAGTCCTGGGATAACAAGTATAAGATCAATAGACAATTATTTTCAGTAATAAGTTAACAAGGGAAAGATAAATTTTTTTAAAGAAAAAAAAATCTCAAAAGTGTGTTAATGTCTCCCAGAAGTAACATGTTGTAATGATGAAACTGGTTTCTAGATCCAACGATGTACTTGAGTGTGTGATTTTCCTGGTAGGAACACTATACAACAGCAAATGTCGATTATCGTATCCTTTGATAATGAACTGTCCCGCTGGAGATGATTTGCGGCTTAGAAACACTGGATAAAGCCAATCATGGCGGAACTGTAATCCGTGTGGAACATGTGTGTTCACATTTGGGAATTCATTGGTCTTGAACATGCAATCCCATGTGGAAGTATCTGGATCCCATGCCCACATCTGACAGTGATGATTCTGAGTAATGTGGTACTCATCTATTACACACAAAGTCCCTTGGAAGTCCAATATTTTCACTTGGAGATTCATATGATAAGGATCAGTGGGGTTAAAGAAGATTGGAGATGGAGGGCAGTTTATGGTTTGGAATTGTTGAGTGTGGTAGTCAAACACGACCAGCAACTCTTGAGGTGTTGCTATTTCAGAGGATAGTTTGTCTACACGCCAGTACACGAATCTATCAAACCAGGTTCCATTAGATACAAGGCAAAGACAAGCATTGCAAAGTGTTTTCCATCCCCTCTATGAATACTTGAACAACTTTGAAAAGAAAAAATGCACCCTTGCATGTTTTTTCCATCGGTAATAAGTGCCATGAAAACGTAAGTTTTTGAGGATGATACGTACCCAAATGCTGTTTCACAATTGCTGAGAGGGACATCATATGGCCATTCAATCGATGCAAGTTGTGTTGTCTTTGGGTTCAAGAATATGATTTGAGACCTGGTTTGCAGACAGACTAAATCTGTGGTGATAGGCATGATTTTATGGATGCCGTCGTCACCCATCGACATCTCTTCTTGCAATCGTATGTGGTTGCATGGGTTATCCATTTGCACTTTTATGTTGGTGGCGATTAGTTTGTCTTGTAACAGGTGACCTTCTTGGCTTGTTTGAGTGAAACAAGGATGTTGTTTTCAGTTGCAGGGTAGCTCATCTCACGTTTTTGAAGAACAAATTCTTGTCTTTTCGTCATTTGCTCCCAAGCTTTGCTGACACGACGGAACTCACCAATCTTTTCCAATGTCAGATTAATGAACATATTATCAAGCATATCGTGATGGATATATTCAGGGTAGTTGTTCTTTTCTTGCTTTGCTTGCCTGGGGGACATTTGTTTGGTTGTGGAATTTGAGGAATTTTTTTCGTTTTTCATTTTTTTCTGGCTGTTGGATGTTTTGGATGCTCAAATCAGGCATTCTGGTGTATGTGCAGATGAGGGAGTTTTATAGAAATCCTTTATGTGGAGATTTCAGGAAGTTTTATAGAAATGTTCTATGTGGAGATAAGGGAGTTTTTTTTTTCCTGATATTGACAGAGGTAGTTTGACGGATTAACTACCCATGCAGTCCTATCTTTTTGCACAAATCAGTGTCTTTTCACTCTCTATTCATTAACTGTCATTGTGATAATCAAGAAACTCACTTAATGACAGTTATGTAACTGATCCTTATTCAATCCATTCCATGTAAAAACGTGTGGCTCTGTAACTACCCATTAGATCATGATGTACTCTACACAAACATGAGCCTTTTTCAGTTTTCTTTTTTTATTTTTACTCCCTCAATCTTTTAAATTCTATTTAATTACAAAACGTGTAGCTTTTCAGTTATACACAGTGACATGATCCACACTGTGGATAACCAGTATTCCCACTATGGATAACCAGTTAAACACAGCTGGATAACCAGTGTTGACACTATGGACAAGCATTTTTCATAAAGAATAAAAACATAGTAAAAATTCAATAAGCATTACAAACCGTTTGGATAATCAGTACTAACACATTGGGCAAGTTCTGATAACCATTTTGGATAACCATTGCAAACCAGTTTGAAAGTCATTAGAAAATGACTGGATAACCATTATTAACATGTTAGATAATCAGTATTGACAATGTGGATAACCAGTGTGCACACTATGGATAACTAGTGTTGACACTATGGACAAGCATTTTTCATAAAGAATAAAAACAAAATAAAAATTCAATAAGCATTACAAACCGTTTGGATAATCAGTACTAACACATTGGGCAACCATTATTAACTTGTTGGATAATCAGTGTTGACAACATGGACTATCATTTTTTTCCTTTTATATTTTTCTTGGATATCTTTGTCCGTATTTTTTACACTGGTTATCCAGCTGCCCCTCATTCATTTTTTGTTCTCCATCATTTGGCAAACTGCCCCTCATTCAATTAAATACTATTTGTGAAATTTGCCATGTTCGGCATGGGGGCGGCACAGCCGCGAAAGGCGGCGCATCCGCGGGCACCGGCGCAGCCAGGTCGTTTAGTTTATCACGGGGAGATTTATACAGGTAATTTGTGTCCCCTCTTAATGCAATAACACACTCTCCTTACAAACACATTCTCCTTACACACACACGAAAAAAGGATTACCTTAGCTACATTGGCGTGTTCAGCGGGGCGGCGCAGCCGGGGCAGGTTGGTAACCTGCGATTCCGATAGCCGCGGGAGTCGTTTAGTTTATCATGGGAGCGAAGCCTCTCAATGAACATGCCGTTTGGATAGCCATTTTCTTATGGATATTTTCTTTTGTTATGTCTTTTTGGAATCCCTGTCTGAATCCTTGTTTTGTTATGTCCACATGGTGGATAGGCATTAGTTACATATGGATAAGCAGTATTGAGGTTTTGGATAACAAGTATAAACTCATGGATAATCAGGTTAAAGACTGTACATGCATTTTTTGACTGGATAATTACTATAAAACATTCGGATAATCAGGTGTAACAAGTTGGATAACTAGTACAAAGATCCTGGATAACCATTACAAACGGTTGGATATTGCTGCACATTGGCTGGATAACCAGTACAAAAGTCCTGGATAATCAAAACAGAGCATTGGATAATTAGCAAAGAAATATTGGATAAGCAGTATAACATCATAGGATAGGCAGTTTAATAAAGAAGGAGAAAGACCAAGAAATTGGGACACTCGGTTTTTGTTGTTTGGGAATTTACATAAATGTTTGGACAACCAAAATACATTTTCTTATTATTTTCTTATGGATATTTTCTTTTGTTATGTCTTTTTGGAAGCCCTGTCTGAATCCTTGTTTTGTTATGTCCACATGGTGGATATGCATTGGTTACATATGGATAAGCAGTATTGAGGTTTTGGATAACAAGTGTAAACTCATGGATAATCAGGTTAAAGACTGTACTTGCATTTTTTTTGACTGGATAATCACTATAAAACATTCGGATAATCAGGTGTAACAAGTTGGATAACTAGTACAAAGATCCTAGATAACCATTACAAACGGTTGGATAATATACTAGGATGGCCAGTACACAGCTGTTGGATATCAACACTTTAGGATCAACAATCAATCAATTATACAAGAGAACATAATGACAGTTCATTTAACCCATCCCTGAATTTTTCTGTCATTGTAGTAAGATTTGCTGCTCAAATCAACATTATCTGGAATTTCTTTTTGTTCTTCTTCAGAAGTATTTGTATAGAACTGGTGCATTGCTTCGAGGATTTTGTCTTTATTTTTGTTGGCTGGGTGCACAAGGATTTTTATCATGTATTTCCACCAGTACTCTTTGATGTTTCCTGTGTTGAAATCCAAAGTAGTACCATCCTCGTACTCACCACCATCATACCGCTCCATGTGGTGCATTGTGTATATTCCACAATCTTCCGCATTTAGCGTTTTGTCCTTATGCGATGGTAGCATAACCTCTGTGAAGGTGTACTGAGCACTGACCAGTTCTATATGGAAACACGCATGCAATGTAGCTTTTGAAGAACCGAAACTGTGATGCCATAAAATCCAAGGACCAGCAAAATGCAATGGATAATTCTTAAACTATGACAATCATTTTGTATCTTTTTTTCACTCAAAAGTAGATCTCTCGTTGGCTTGTAGTAATCCAGAACTTTTGCATGAATATTGTTGAGGACAAGCACTTTCTTTTCTTCAACCAGCAACACATACAAGAAGTAATGGTCTTGGTAGTGTACTGGGAAGTAGATCTATATTTCACATTAAAGGGGGAAATCATATGAAAATTTTTTAACAGCCAGCTATAGAAAGAGTGAAGGAGGTGAAAGATGTTGCTTACAGCTTTTGCCGCTAACAGGGATGCTACAGTAAGGCCTTGTTCTTCTAGTTCAAGACCCAACCTCTCATAGAATGTGAACTCGATTTCCTCTTTGTTACTGCCTTGTTGATAGTATCGACTGATTGTATCCTGTGTTATTGTTTGAGATGGTTGGAAAATGATACAATGATCAGTACAATGGTTGGAAAATGCAGTAGAAAACAATTATCGGAATCAAGCACATCCAAGGTCAACCAAAAGTACCCTAGATGACACACAAGAAGGAATGGTTAACCAGTTCAGATCTTGTGAATGAGTAGTACAGAACAGATGGATAACCAGCAAATGAATCATGGATGGATAACCAGCAAATGAATCATGGATAAGCCACCACATAGAAGGCTTGGATAACCAGTTCAACTCTGGTGGACAAGCATTAGTAACAAATTGGATAATAAGTACAAACATATGGATAAACAACTTGCAGACATGTGACAAGTATTTTACCAGGGCGGGATAAACAATAAGGGTTTAGTTGACTTACAAATGACGAAACACCAAAGAATATCCGTCTTGGGGAGTCACTCTTAGCTTCTTCTTTGTTTAGGATGACAGCCCAAGAATCTATGATGGTGTTTTCTATCCATGTCCCTTCCCTCATGGAATAGAATGCTGTCCTGTCTGCCCAAAGGATTTTTTCAAATTCAAACAAGAGTTTCCTGCATAGAAAAAGTAGTCAAATAGACAAATAGTTGGAAAACTGGTAAGTTTTTTATCTCACGGGTAAGGATGGTGACTTTTACCCTGATTTAACTATTTGTTCTTGTCTCTGCAAGGGAGTGAAGTCTATTAACAGGGCTTCTTCTTGGGTCATTTTCTTCTTCTCCTCTGTCCACTGTATGAAGTTTTTCTTGTTTTTCTTCTGCAGCATGAACGGCAACCTGAACCGTTTGGGCAACCGGTGGACTCTTGGTGGATTCTTAGGTTTTTCATTGAGGATCCTAGGACAAAACAAAAGAGAGTTAGTATGTAAACTCGTCTTTCTATTTTGAAGTGGGGAGTCATAGTGGATCAAACTTACTTTTCCACTGTCTTTGTTAACTCTTCATCAAGCTCATAGCTTCCTTTGAGATTGCAGGCGGTGGCGTGGTACACTCATTTTTCTCCAACATCAGTAGACCACCCGTGGTAGAAGCAATATTCCAATCGGGTGGAATTATGCTTAAAGGGACTGCTTCAACCACCTTTGAGTTCTTCTCAACTTCTTCTACAGCAGCGGCAATCATCTCTAGTTTTTTGGTATCATTTAATGATTTTGAATCTGGTGCACTGGCCTTTCTTATGATTTCATCGATGGTGGAGTGGGATTCTTTGTTTCGTCGAGTGCAGATGGTACTGGATATTCTTCTGCTTCTATAGTCTCATTGACATCTTTATCCAAATCAACACTTCCTGTGATATCTTCCTCAGTGTTCTTCTCCTGGGTTGTCTCATAACTGTCTTCCTGACTGGAAAAGATACCCAGGTTAAAGTGTAGGATAGTTGGGTCTTTGAATACTTTCCTTTTCCTGGTACCAGTGCTTCTCAACCTTCTGGTATAGGTGGATGTCACACCTGAATCCCGGCCGGTGGGATTTTGATGGGATCTCTTCTTTTCTATTGTGGAGATATTCTATTCCATGTGCTGCAGTACAAAGTTGGAATGTTGGATAATCAGTACGAACATACAGATATATTAACACATTGGATAACCAGTTCAAACGAAGTGGATAATCAGTTCAAACAGGCCGGATAATCAGCAGGAACATAATGGATAACCATTTAAAGGGAAAAAAGGGGTTGGATAAGCAGTACAAATTAGTTGGATGACAAGTACAATCACATCTGATAAGTATTTGTTTCATTAAAAAAAAACGGTTGGATAACGAGTACGAACGAGGTGGACATTGGTTTTTATTTTTTTATTTTTTTATAAGCAGTAAGAAATGTATGAGAAAAATATTCATTACCTTGTGGTTGAGTTTGTTGTTCATCAACCACCACTTCTTTTGAAGTAGGCACGGATTTCCCCACTAGAAGAGAATCCTCATCATTTGTCTGGCTCAATTGCTCCAGTCCCTGTGCTTTGTCAATTTTAATGTCTTGAAAATTTGTGGGATTAATTGGAGCTTGTACAGTGTTGTCACAAGTTTGTTGGTGTTTTTGTTGTTGTTGGTCAGTTACTTGTCGTTCCAGCTGTTCTATTATTGTTGCAAACCTGCTTTCAGCCGCCTTCCATGCCATCTTGCACAATTCACAAATCTGTGCATCCTGAAGGTCTTGCTGGTCTTGCTGCTGCGCTTGTTGGTGTTGCGTTGTCCCTGGAGATGGAGGCATCTTTCTACTCATCGACACCATTGCATCTGTTAGGATCTTGATTGTTTGCTTTGCTTGTTCATCTGGTTCGACTTTTAACTCCATTTCCTTTTCACGTATGTCTAAAACAGTTTTGCTCATCGTGATAATCAATTGATAGAACTTTTCATAAAGAGCAGCAAGCTCCTGCAAAAGTGAATGTAGTTAGTGGAATGTGGAGATGCTAGGTTGGATACGTAGGTGTAATCTGAAAAAAAAAAGGTAGAACACTACATAAACTTGTTGTGTGTTGGGGTTGGCCTGTGTATCCTCCTTCTGTGATTCCCCCTCTAGGTGTTCATCTCGGGATGCTACTGAGGACAGTTTCTTGAGACGTTCAAGTGTCTGGACATCTGTGAAATTGCTTCCCTGAAGTCTTAATCTATCGTCCAGTATCTTTTGATCCCAACATTTGATCATAGAGAATGACCTCGGATGTGCTCTCTCATACTCACACCTATCAAGGTAGCACAACTAACAAAAAAAAAGAAAAAATTTGGTGTTAATGATATCAGTACAAGCAAATTGGATAAACATTGCAAGTAATATGGATAACTAGTAAAATTTGTACGGATATGGTAAGTACCAGAAAAAAAGTGATCGATCCGGTGAATGGTTTCCCATCATGGTGACTTTTGCATCCTTTGACCAGTGCATCAATCACATATTGACACCAATTGTATTCTGTCACCTCATTCCTGTTCACAAGGGACTTCAGGATGTTCATTGTGATCCTGGAGGTGGTGTTTCCATGTAAGAATGTGCTCACAACGAAGACCAGGAAATCTCGTTTGAAGTCATCACCAATATCTTTTCGACCAGCAATTAATTGTGTCGCCGTGGATCTCATTGGCAGGAATTTATTACTATATCCCATTCTTTTCTTGAATGCATCCACCATCTCAGCGTGGTCCGTTACAGTGGGATCGTTCTGTTTGAATTCTTCCTCTGGTTTGGGTCCACGAGGAAGATCAAGTACATCAACAACATCTTCCTGTTTGATATCCAGTACATTGTTGCCATTCAATGGGACTTGTCTCGCACCGGTCTGGAAATTTTTTGCCAGAAAACTGCATAATGCTGTTGGAATATTTTTGATTTTGAGATCCAGCAAGGCGCCAAATCCCATATCTCTGATAGCCTGCTTTTGTAGTTGGCGATAATCTACCGCATCTGGCTCTTCCTTAAGATTTGTTGGTTTATTGATTTCAGTGATGACTTGGAAGAGATGGTTTGGCATCATCATGGTCTCAAGTTTCTTGACAGAATCTTCAGAACTGATTGGTTGTGGATCTTGACCAATCATCAGTTTGTTCTAAGGTTTCGTTCTTTTCTTTTTGTGCTTTTTATCATTATTGTCATCAGCAACCACAAGTTGCTTTGGATTTCCTGTCGGTGTGCTCTTCTTCCTCTTTAGTTTCCTCAGCAAGTTGTGGGGCCTTGGACTTTAACCAGGGGACTGTTCTTCTTGGGTTGATTTTTGATTTTTAAATATGGTCAGTGTTCCTTCAGGGAGCTCCATTATCTCTGGTTCAGGATCCGGTGATCTGTCTGAGTGGCGGTTAAGGTCGTGGCTTGCGCTGATCCACGCGTGCCTATATTTTGTTCTAGCCTCCTTTAGAGCACTGTTGGCATTGGAAAATCACTAAGAAGTCAATGGACAAAATAGCAGGATATGAAAAGGAGCAGTAATCAAAAAAGGAGTAACCAGTATGAAATGGGTGGATAACCAGCAAATAATGTATGGACATGTAACCACATAAAAGCACATCTACAAAAAACAATGGATAACCAGTTTACACCTTGCGGATAACCAGTATAAAATGGGTGGATAACCAGAAACAAAGTTTGGACAAGCACCCCATAGCACACATGCAGGAAAACTTGGATAACCAGTTCAGATATATAGTGGATAACCAGTTCAGTTTGTCTATGCCACATAGAATCAAATGTAAAAAAAGCATAGATAACCAGTTTACAATTTGTGGATAACCAGTTTACACCTTCTGGATAATCAGTTTACACCTTCAGGATAATCATTTTACAACTTGTGGATAACCAGTTTACAAATTTTGGATAACCAGTATGAAATGTGTGGATAACCGGTTTACAACTTGTGGATAACCAGTATGAAATGGGTGGATAACCAGCAAATAATGTATGGACATGTAGCCACATAAAAGCACATCTAAAAAAACCAATGGATAACCAGTTTACACCCTGCGGATAACCAGTATAAAATGGATGGATAACCAGAAACAAAGTTTGGACAAGCACCCCATAGCACACACGCAGGAAAACTTGGATAACCAGTTCAGATATATAGTGGATAATCAGTAACAAAAAAAACACCAAAACATGGATAACCAGTTCAGTTTGTCCATGCCACATAGAATCAAATGTAAAAATAGCATGGATAACCAGTTTACAACTTGTGGATAACCAGTATACAAATTCTGGATAACCAGTATGGAATGGGTGGATAACCAATATGCTATGTGGATAACCAGTATGAAATAGGTGGATAACCAGCAATTATGGCATGGACAACCATCACATAGCATACGAAGGAAACCATGGATAACTAGTTCAGATCTAGTGGATAAATACAAAGTTGGATAATCAAAAAAATAGGATCCTGGAGTAATATACTTACCAGTGAAGCATGTATAGATGAAGGAGAGCTTGAGATGGCCGGAGGTAGGGTTTCTCGCCGTCGTCTATGTGTGTGTGTTTGTCTTTGTGAAAGAACAGAATGACAAGATGAAAAAACGTAGAGAGAAGATGAAGTTATCAAAATCGTCTTCCAGCGGAGGTTTTTCGTCGACTTTCTGTAATTTTGTGGTGGTGGTCAATTTTGTATTTGCCCTAAAATGGAGAGTTTCCGACGACTGCGTGTTTGTGTGTGTTTGTGCGTGGAGATAAAATGGATGAAAATAATTTTTTGTGTGCATTTAATGTAAAGGTAAAAGCAGTTAGGCGCGTGATGCGCGTGTGTTTGGTGGGGGGTATACAGTGCACCCGGGTGCACTGGATGCGGTCTCGAATAGGTGATTGAGAATTCGCAATTTGTTACTCACTTTCATATTCTGTTTAGGGTTTTCCGATTACATGTATATTTTAATGAGTCTCCTATTAAGTGTAGAATTCAATTCTTGTTCCGATAGATTGTTCCGATAGAGATCTTTATAAGAGACTAGGTTGTTCTATTATATATTAATTTTTGTATTTTTAATTTTCTTTAGTTTGTGATTATTAAATAACATGTTATTATCGACATTTGTAACTTATAAATCTTGATGAAGTTAATTGTTATTATCGATATTTGTAACTTATAAATCTTGATGAACTTGTTTGTTTCAATGCGAATGAAGTGATATTTAATTCATTATTGCATTATTGTATCGAGTAGTAATATAAAAATGCAACAAAAGAGAATATTTTTAACAACATTGCTGGTTACATAAATTAATCCTCCTGCGATAATTAGTCGACCATGTTGATAAACTTCATATGTTCTACTGTCCAAACTGATGTTGTGTGAGGATAGTATAATTTCTCAAAAAATCGCGACAATTGATTAAATTATTTTATTTTGGAAAATAATCATTAGCACAGTACAATTTCTGAACAAAGCTTACCAATGGGTTTCTGTTTTTTTTAATAAAAAAAAAAATTCTGGCAAGCTAACATTAACATATGCTTCAGATTATTTAAAATGAAAAAAATTAACAAATGGTTTGAATTGAGTAACTAACAGATTCCAAATCCTGAAATAATTGCATGAAAGTCGTGAATGTAAAATGCTTCTAATTCTATTGGGTTTGGCTTTCAGATAAGGAGATATAATATTGGGTTTGGCTTTTATATAAGGAGATCAAAACGACGTGTTTCAAAACGACGTCGTTTTGATGTCCAAGTTTTTAAATCCATTTAATCGGGTTTTTCAAAAACATCATGTACTATTTATGTAATGACGATTATACCCTTTTTTAAAATTGCTGATGTCATCCTAACTTCTCAACCAATCAAAATATTGTTTTATCACTGGAATATAATTCAAGATGGTTCTTTTATAAGAAATAGCGATAAAAGATGTAACGGTAGCTGCAGTAGAATTCAATTGTTGTTCTGATAGAAAACTTATAATAAAAGATATATAATGGCAGCTGTTGTAGTTTCGTTTTATTAGGAAAAGTACTGATTTAGATTATCTCGGCTTCGGTTTTTCTTTCTATTTTTGAAAAAAATGTACTCCCTTGGTCCCAAAATTATTGTCCAAACAGTACATTCATATATAGTAGATTTATTTAAGATTTTGAAAATTATAAAAATAATAGGTAAAGAAGGAAAGCATTAATGGAGAATTATTTAAGATTTTAAGAAATTACTTTCATATTTAAGTAATGAAGAAACTAAAAAGGGATGAGCGCAAGGCTATAGACAGATGGACTATTTTTTCTTGGTGCGTAATCTATTGGGAGTAATTCGTGTGAAAAGAGTAAAATCTCTTGACCATCTAACTTTACTTATTTATTAGTTTTCAAATTAAAGCAGACTACTTTTGTGTTATGGGTTAAGGAGGCTTCCACAAGTTTATAACCTTAAAAAGAAAAAACAAAAAACTAAAGCGTAAGTGCCTAACCCTATCGATCGAGGATCTTTCAAACTGCTTAAAACTCATAGTAATGGAGTTTGCAATTGATGTTAGATGATCTTTGTGGATCTAATCCAGAGCTGAACTCACTTAATATCTCTCAGTTGTGTACGTACTCAGCTGCTTTGTTGCGTATGTGCTATCTTCGTTTCTGCACTTGGAATGCTGAAACTAATGCCTAATTGGTTCTCATTCCGATGTATGAACACAAAAAACCTACTTCATCCTAATGCATAAATGCTCATGCAATTTTGGATAAAAGCGGCTGCAGTCGAAATATATATATGTAGATTTATTCGATTGATTTTTCTTCACTCAATAAATTAAGTTTGGTTTGCATTAATGGAGTTGGACCCCTTTCAGCTAGCCTAGTTGCAAAACGTGAGGTTACTCATTTTTTCTGATAGTGTAATTAAACCCTTTAAATATGAAAGAAAAATAAAATATTTCCTCCGTCCCCAAATTATTGTCTAGTTTGCATTCTTATTTTTAGTATAAATTGCACTAATAAGTGAAAGTCCAAACTGGACAATAATTTTTTGAACAAAAGAGCAATAACAAACCAAATTTTCTTCTATAAAAGTATGCAACTTTCGCCATCGATAACCACAAGCATTTTTCTATCCTTTTATTTTGAATTTTGATCCACGCTTAAAAATATTAAGAGCGACACAAAAATGTCTCAAAAGTTGTGTTCGATTCTTTTCCTTGTCTTCGTAATTTCTTCCTTCAGGCCAATCCAATCCAGGAAATACAACCCTAAGAAACCATGCAAACGTTTTTCCGTTCACATGCACGAGATATTGTTCGACGGCAACAACGCGGCGAATGCGACGGCTGCCGTGGCCGTGAATCAAACCAAGCTAAACAGTTACGGATTCGGAGAATTCACCGTTTTCAACGACAAATTGACGGCCGACAGCAATCTGTCATCGCCTTCGGTGGGTCGCGGTCAAGGGTTTTATGTATTCAACATGAGGACACCGGGGTTTAATGCGTGGGTGGGTCTTAGTTTGGTCTTCAATAATTCATTTAAATACAAAGGTACACTTACTATAACTGGGGCTGATTTGATAAGTCAAGGAACGAGGGATATCCCTATTGTTGGAGGGACTGGGGATTTCTTCATGGCTCGAGGCATTGCCACAATTACTACTGAATTTGAAGGAGATACTTATTTCCGACTTCTAATAGATGTCAAATTGTATGAATGCTAAATCAAATTTGTCAACCGTCATTCTAATAAAAACACTCATCTCCCTACTACAAATCTCATGTAATTATATCATGGGAGGATGAGAAATAATTTGATGTTGATTCGGGGTTTTTGTTGTATTAATTAATTTTATCCCAATAAACGATTGTCTCTAATTAAAGCTACTTTTTATTTTGCGTCATTTAGCAAATGATGATCTGTTTCTCGTACTATATTTCTTCAGTGGATCTCGATTTCTATGGTTGGGCAAATTTTATTGTTTGTTGTCGTGGCTTTATGTCTGATGCTTGTGTCTCTTCCGAAATAAAATATTTGTGCAATGGCTCGCAGGTGCAAGGGTCGAATTTTTCCTCTTTGTTTTTGTTTGGTTGGTTGAGATAGACTAATCCACGAAATTAACTATATGCAGAAACACCTAATTCTCTCTTTTTCTTGTATGTTACATTCCCATCACCTGATATTGTCTCTGTCTATTACAAAAAAATAAAATCAAATTAAATTAAAAAATGAGGTGGCTGAAGGCCTTTTCTATAATTAATAAAAAATTATAAATAATCGTCGACTCCAGCAAAGGAAAAAAACACCAGCACCAAGTTTAAGGTGATTCGTTCCACTTCAGTCCCGCCATAAGTTGGGGAATTATTATTTTCTTAATCTTTTTTTTTCTTTCTTGTGTAAAAGAATAAATTGATGAATGGTTGTATTTCATCCCGCGATACGGGGGAATCAATTCTATCTTCATCATCATTATTATTTTTCAATTTGCAGAACTCCTTCCACGATAATTTAATGGATTATTTTTTAAAAAAATGGGATAAAAAAAATACCCTTTCTGTTTTGAAATGATTATCCAGTTTGTATTTTCTTTTCTTGTTCAAATATTTATACTAAAAAATAAAATTATAAATAAACGATCATTTTAAAAGAGAGAAAGTAAGTTTTTCAGAAAAAGATTGGACAAGATGTGCGTCGTTGTGGCGGTGCACGCATCTTAATTGAGTTTCATAAATAAAAAAAGCATAATCAAATTACCAACAAGCACTTGTTCCAAGTGTTAAAAGTATTGGACCAGTTTAATTATGAGTTTGAATTCGCACATGGGCATGCAACAGTGATTAAAGTATTTATTACGAGAGTTTTGCCTGACCTACACAACTCGAATCCGAATTAGTCGAAACAATGACTTCAAACACTGGATGTGAAATATATTAAAAAAAGGATAATTAAATTTGTAGCTTATATAGCGGCTGTGGCGGGTTAGTTCGAGGTATTTGTGGAATTCTCGGACGGGATTGGTGTGTGAAATAAAACATGTTTTCTGTGAATTAAATTGCAGTAGACCTTTTAAGCGTTCTTAGATGTTACTTATCCATCAGGTTTGCATTAACTAGACCATTTTCCGTCGAGAGTTAAGTTGGAGCGTAACCTTATTTGTGTCTCGCTTTATTTGTGTATCATTTTAATATAATTTGTACTAGGCTTTCTGATATGCTTATATTTTGAGTACAAATATGCTATTTATGTGATTTTATCTTTAATTGTAGGAATTGTACTCAAATGGAAGAATTGTTAAGATTTTGGACTAAATTGAAGAGAAAAAACAACTCAAAGGAAGAAATTGAAGCACTTGAAGAGTTGGAGGAGTTTTAATTTAAATTGGCTTGAAAAAAAATAATAACTTTTTTATTCCTGAAAAAGTAGGATTTGAGGAAAACCTATAAAAAAAAGATTAGGATTTTATTTTTGGGAAGACTAAACCACAAATTTTCTCCTTACACCCGCAGCCTTCCACCAACTCCGCCGACCATCACCTCACCCCATCTCCATGCACACCACCATCTCATCCCATCATCATCACATTAATCATCATCATCAACCCTTTCTGCCCACCCAGCTCCACCGAAGCCCCCCTCTCCAAACTTTCCACGCAAAGCACCTTCATCCACCAAAACCCACGCCCTTTTTCACGCACCAAATCACCACCTCCCAAGTCCATCAAAACCTCACGCCTCCGTCACCATCAACGCCTCAACATCGTTACTCCATCACACACATCATCGGAGGAGGAGGAAGTAAGCAACTTCAGACTCAACTTTTGGGCTACTTCTCCTGGGTTTCATTGTTTTATTTATTTCTGACATGATGTGTAGTTAAAATATTTAATCTAAGGTTTTGGATGCAGCAGTCGTACTATTTAATTTAATTTAAGTTATGATTGTGATTTTTTCATTAATTAATATTTATTATTGTTGTTTTTCATCCATGTGAATACCTGATCAATATTTGCATGCTTTTAAGTGCTAGCTGAAGTAGCAAGAGTGGAAGGCTAGTATTAGTTTGTAGGAATAATAAACTTAGGTAGTGAGCCACGAGAGTAGGAACACCGCCTTTGCGACTAGTAATTCCAAAGTTCTTAATGTACTTTTATCAATCCCTATAGTCACGAGAGTAGTCATAGGGTTAGTTTAAGTAAGAGGGTTATGACACGAGAGTGTATAATTCTTAAATTGGTGAATTGTCGTGAGATTAATGAGAGTCGAAAGTCACATATCTATAGATTAAGTTAAACTGAATAGTCGGTTGGTGAACCCTTTGCCCTAGGTTTTTCTTTTACTTATTTATATCTTTAAATAATTTTAATTGTTAGTTTTAAGTTTAGAATAGTTTAAAATTGTTAAATTGTTAATCTAAACAATAATAAGAAATAATTTTAACCTGGTACTTGGTATCCTTCTCTGTGGGATTAACCCTACTTCCTACGTTACTACTAGTAATTGTATTAAGTAGGTAATTAATATTTGACTCTTTCTATCTCCTCTATTACATTGAAACAATTTGTACCTTACAGTGTATTGGAATTTATCCATTAGAGATTAGCTTGATTGCCTAAAGTTTTGATATTTACATATCACACGGGTTGTCTTGGTAAAAATGTAAATCATGTATGTAAATCATGCCGAATCTCAACTACAGTCTAATTTCTATTGAAAACTCATTCTACAAGTTGAAAAATGTATAGTTAGTTATATCGTAGTGTGCTATAATTTCACAACCCATCCCCTGTCAAGAAATATGTTTGTCAATTTCAGTCAACAGGTTGGGCAAAGTTATGTTTTTGGCTTTATAAATTATATAATTTATTGATGTTCCCCGACATATGATGTATAGGTTAATTAGAGAAGATTTAGTCATTACAAATATTCATTACAATAATGATATAAAAATTTCATGTGATTATTAATTATTCACATACTCAAAATTAATTTACTCTACTGACTGATACATATTGATGGATAGATAATCTAGGTGAAACTGTATGTATGTATACGTACCACCCATAAATAAGCGGAGATCTTAGTGAAAAGAATAAATCTCATAATATAATTATTAAAACAAATAAGTAGTATTACTGGGTTGGCCAGCCAACTTTAAAAATATTCAACCTTGACCATGGACTTCAATTGATTAATTAAGTCTTATCTTCCATCGACTTTGCCTTAATTAGGGCGCGATGAACACTTCCGTTTTTCATGGGAATTCATAACTTTGTTGGCAAAGTCCCCAGCAAGCGTTGAGATATTGATGCGGGAACTTAATTCTAATGTGAAGTTGCGAACTTACTTTGACTTAAATATTAACACAACTGTGTCTGTACATATCCGTGGTTATACATTAAAACTAAGAAATTCTTCATGTGTGATGATAAAACTATCCTATCTAGATCCCCTGGCTAGCTATTGAATCATCAATGATCAAACTATATATCTTCCCATAGATTTATAAGCTATGCCTATGGATCCAGCCCTAAGCCAATACAATATCCCACAAATGGACAAACGACTAATAAAAAAAAAAAGTGGTCAATTTGTATTCCGATGGAAACTGAAGAATTCACTAGGTTATATTTTCTCTTTCCAAAAGAGAAGTAGTCCACATTGAGTTTTAGTATACGTCTCAAAACACAAATGTCGATCATTTTCTGGAGACGGATGGAGTATGAAAATGTATATGTTTATAGTAAGTACTATTGGTGGAAACAGTATATGAACTGACATAATTACTTGCAATCTGTTTTTGACAAAAATAATTATCCCTAGCTTACATCGTGATACGAAACATGTATACAACTTTTCAGGGCTTCTTTAATTTCAGAACCAAGCTATATTGATTCTCTGTTTTTAGATCCAACATCCTGAACAACAAAGAAACAAACTATGACAAAGGCAACGGAGATCGATAACTAGACAAGACATCGGTCTTCAACACCCTTTCTTTTGGCTCATACAGAAAATGGTTTGACATCAGAAACTATGTATCGTGGCAGTTGACTTCAGGTCTTCTGGTAAAACTTCAAGGAAATCTCGATATATAACTCGTAATACTTCCACAAATTGGTTTCCAAAACCTTTTGTGCGATGAATATCCAGCCATTTCAACAAATGAATATAGCGCGACCGTTGTATATGAATCCGAAGGAAGAGCGTTCAAAAACCTAGAAAGCCTTGCCCAACCTTCTTCAATTCCATGAAAGTTTTGAACCTGAGTCTGCATAATAGCTCCATATAGCTTCATACAAGAAGTCATTTGTCTCATAAAGCAGTCAACGCTTTCCAATTTCCCATCCTCTTCTTGTTCAAAACCGATTGCTTTGTAGTATGCTTCGTTGGTAGTGAACACCGACTTCGAGTAAGATATGTGTTTAGGTACCGTGTAGATGCATACTTTGTTGAGCTTAGTAATCAGCATCTCAATGACAAGCGAAACAGCTGAATCAACAAGAACCGTGAGCTAAATTGACCTAATGTCCGTAGGTTTGTCGCACTGCACGACAATGGCATGCGCAAACATCATGATGCCGATGGATTGGGGAACAAAAGGATGGTTGATGAGCTTCAGTCACGCTTCAGCTTTATCATTGACACTCTTTTCTGACCCCCTCATGGTCCGAACATTTCTTTTGATGTCTCGTTCGAATGAATCATAATCCATATTAATTCGATAAACAAAGTGGTGATATGAGAATTGTTTCTAAGCTGGAAAACATTAGTCAATGAAGATTGGTTGAGTGCATTTCTTGAATCACAACAACAATTTTAGCTGCTGGAATTTCAGATCAAAATGCACTCCTTGTGAAATGGGGAGAGGAATATGTTGGCAAAAGGAAATCATTCTTATTCT